CTCCTATTTTGAAGTCTGGGGCTAGATACACTTTTTTTTTTTTAACTTTTAAAAAATTACATTGAATCACTGTACATCTTTATAGAGTACAAAATGATTTTGTCCGGTATGAACCTGACTAATATCACTAATATTGACTAGTCAAGTGCATATTAGTCAAGTCAAAGATATTACCATACACATTATCAACAGATAACTTTTCATTTTTGTGTCTGATAAATATTATTTTTTCCCTGATCCACTTTCTCCCATTCCCTATTACCCACTCTTTTGTATACTGTCTCTAATATCCACAGTTGCCCAGCCCCATCATACCTTCCAATATTTTAGTTTCTGCCCATAAAATGCAGATATTTACTATATATTAAGTGGAGACATACAATGCTTCTCTTTCATAGTCTGACTTGCTTTGCTTAGCATTAAATCTTCCATATTCATCTACTTTCTTTCAAATACCAGGATCTCATTTCTTTTGGAGAGGTTTTTGCTATAGGGCGCGTGCGCTTGCCAGAAAGACAGAGAGAGACAGAGAGACAGAAAGAGAGAAATCATCCCCCAGGGGGGATGGCCACGCCACAATCCCTTCTCCTCCGTTCTACTCTCGGGATCTTAGGCATGCACGCACATGCGCCCGGTGTGAGTTTAAGCCACTGGGTCCGGGACACAAACCATGGTCGGCTACATGGGAGTCCAGCGACATAGCCATTACACTAACTGCTGGTCCTGGGTCTCATTTTTTTTTTTTAAACAGCTGAATAGTATGCAGCATTATTCACAATTGCTAAGACATGGAATCAACCCAAATGTCCAAGAACAGATGAATGGGTTAAAAAAGTGGGGCTGAATCCATTTTAAGAGAACTTTGAGCTTGAATAGAACACTATCACCCTGGAAACCAAAAGCCATGAGCACTGGGACCTGCTCTGCCTTGACCACCACTGTTGTCTCAGCCTGGAACAGAATCTCGTACAGTAGGTGCTCACTAAATGCTATTGTCTCTCTCCAACACCAGTTGCACTGTGACCATTATGGTTAGTGGTCCTCATGTCTGGGACTGAGACTGGTCTGGGACTGATCAGGCTTGCACGGTTGAAAGTCCCACAAGA